TGCACAATTTTAATGCATGCCATATTGGATATTTATTCGGTGTAACAGCATCTGTCATAATTTACAAAAAAAAATTGGGTATATATATTGTGTTTTTTCCCCAAATGTGCGTGTGGATTGAAGCTCGAGTATCACAGTTAATTGACAGTAGTTGTTCAGCGATTCAGGTCAGGAATACAGCAGGTTCAGATCAGAATTTTGTCCTGTTCACAACATGTGCGGTTTACAAAACGGTTCCCAAACAAGTCAATAACCTGTAATCCACACCTGAACCAGACAGAATTATTTTTCAATCCGCACTGCCAGTGCACAGGACATATCTGAACAGGCACCATAGGAAACAATGTTATTTCACATGTCATGCGGATTGGATGCACTTCAAACCAACCACATCCAATCCATATATATGTGAACCGGCACATATACCACACATCGGAACACTGAGTAAGCTGTGTACAATGATTGAGTATATTTCTGTTTTTAAACGGTAAACGGTTAATCAAGCCCATCTAAATCTGCTAGTGCATCTACCCTCTCCCCAAAACTGGTAATGTCGCCCAAAAGGTCTTGGGTAGTCTCCATTCTAGATGGAGGAGCAACAAAGACAGGAAGTACATTACTACCCTTATCACCAGGTAAAAATAAACAAAAACACCTAAAAAGAAAAACAAATGCATTTTCTACTCTTAAGAATTGGCAAATTGCAATACAACACATTTTTGGGTTCAAGACCTCTTAATTTCAAAATCTGAGGCACATTAAAACCGTGAATATTCATTCTTTTTGTTTCCAATAATTATCAGTTACATTCCAGAAGCAATACAGAGGAAACTTTAACAATTACATATATCATAACATTTTCCTCATACAAAAGAGAACAATTACAGAGGAAAGAGAAACACTTCTATAAATTCCACGAGTATAATACATTGGGTGTCAAACCAAGGGTTCCATGGCATCCATGCATAAAACAGAGGCCTGTTTCCCCTGCCTAAATGTTGTCTTATTACAGGGAGTGACTATGACACCTTTATTGACCAGATAATACCCACTTCAGTCAAAATTAGGCTAAGTTCATAGGCAGGTTACACATTATGTTCGAGGGGATGGATCTCTCAGGGAGCCCCACAGAGTTGAGGTTCATCCCCTAGAATCCTAGGCCGCCTTCCCCGTGCGTGTTCCTTTGGACATTGTTCCAAATTGACAAAAGGAAATGTACAAAAGAATTAAAAAAAAAAAAAAAAAAAAAAAAAACCACGACAATTCTCCTTTTCAGCAGTAGGTGGCCTGGCCAATACCCAACCACTGGTCCCAAGATCTCTGCTGAATGGCCTTGGAATACTGATACTCAAGTACAACCTGCCAATCATCAGCTCTACCTAAAAAACAATTCTTCTTGGACAATAACCATCTGACCCATGCCGTTGCATTTGGCACATGATATATCACCAGATGGGAGAATTCCTAAGATTTAAGCAGAAAATTGTTTGTTTGTTTTTTTACACTTCTAATTTACCTTTCTGAATGATAGTCTGTTCACTATATGCTAACTGGCCACCCAGTACGGCAAGCTGAATATCCAAACTCATAGGCTAACTGTTGTGGGAGAACAAGGATTTCCTTATCACTGGTAGTTGTTCTTTATACAAAGAGATGGCTGTTGGCAAAACCACATTAGGTCCTAGAAAAAGGGTCCATTATCCATAGTGAACAGTTAAGATTCCAGCTGTCATTATCTAGTAGGACATAGATGGGGTTGTACTCATTTTTATACAAGGCTCATTCATTTTTGAGTAATGTGAAAGTCTTCTAGAAAATAGGAATTCATATCGATTAGATTGCTATATACAGTCTTTAGTAACGATGACCATTTCAATGATATGTAATTGCTCATATTTGTCCATGATGATTGAGTAATATTACTAGACGAAAAAGTATTATAATATACAGGAGATAATGTCCTCATAAATCATTGGATACCAGACCTTACCTGAGTTCATCCAGCTGCAATACCAACTGCAAACAAGTCACAGCGACATGTTCTACTGAAGAAGGCTTTTTCACTTTTGGGAGCTTTGTTATACAACTGGGCAATTTTTTTAATCAAGAATAAAAAGTAACGATCAGTAACACTTCTTTGTCAAAGCAGCAAAAAGCACCAGATTTGAATAGAGATTACAATACTGATTTTCTTCATTTTTAGTTAAACCCATTCCTAGTTATCTACTCAACACAGAATTACCATACAACAGAATTTTAATTAGATAATAGCTTCCCTTTCAGGTTTCTGTTCAATCATGGAAGTGCTTCAACCAAAGAATGTTTTATTTAAACAGAAAGATGTGCAATGTCTGCTGAGCTGAAGCATATGTACATTTTGCAGATGGCATATCCAAAATGGCTCTCACAATCTACACAGTCCCCACCATCTGATGTGTTGCTCCTCATCCTTTGCAAGGTCCCATCTGGCTTCAGATTTCTTTTCATCTAGATGGAGCAATTTTTAAAAGAACGGTTTTGCCAGATTTAATCCATGCCATTATAAAAAAAATTCCTCTCCATCCAGGAGACCGTAACAGGTTTATGTGGAACTTGGCTGGAATAATCCAATTTGGGGGGGGGGGGGGGGGGGGGAAGAAGACGTACCTTATAGCCAATATCAAAACTTTCTATACCTGTCATTTCCATATCAACATTTCTGTAATCAGATTTAAGATGCGTTGTATTGATTTTGTAGAAGAGGGAAAAATCCAAAAAGGGTTTTTTTTCTTTTTTTTTTTTGATAAATTGAGTTCGGAGCCTTATAGGTCTTACGGATTTCAGCGGTAAAACACCCATTCCGCCTATCTCTGAAACTCCCCTCTTCCTGCTTCTACTGGACTGTGCCCATGGCTGGTTTAGATCTACTGAATATAATGTAACTATGGTTTATTTCAGAAATCAGGTCAACTCCTGCTTTGCTAAGCAAGGAAAAGCAATGAGTTCACTCAATTGGTACCCACCCCATCTGAACATACCTTTCTTTCACTCTTGCTGTGAAGTGAAGTGCCATGTAAGCTGTGGGATGCAGTGCTGGGTGTCTGAGCAGAACTCACCAGTACTGAGCATTAGGAGGAAGGGTAGTAATTCACACACCCCTTATATACACACACAGCAGGTATTTTCGTAGCTCTAACCAGTGTAAGGGAGTGGTAGTGGAGAGAAAGGAAGGCTCAGCAGGTCAGCAGCTAGGTGAACCTGTAGTTTAGCTGTACATGAGCAAAGAGCAGGTTTACTTTAAGCTACAGAATGGACTTTGCTTGTAATGATGCTTAAAGTAACAGTTTCAAAGGATGCATAGTTTGCTTGTAACTTTATAGAATATTTTGCTTACTGCTATTTTTGTACATTTGGTTTGTGGTTTGCCATGGAGTAAAGCTGGGAAATAAATTGGCCAGTCATTTGAAAGCAATTAGTTACCTGCACACCTGGAACTAGCAAATTCAAAATCTTTTACACTATTGCTGGAAAATATCTATCTACCCCGGTACTCACAATCAACCTGCCACAAACCTAGGCAATTGATTTATAAATGCTTAAAGTGTTACTAAACCCACAACAGTATAATTAGTCTGTATATGCAGTAAAGTATGTTTGAGATACCCACTGTGGAACCTAAGGGGTTAATCCTCTGCATTGTGTAAAAAGGCAGTTTGATGTTGACTTCTCTGATCCTCCCCTTCCTCCAGTGTCTCCCTCTTATCTCCTGATAACACATCTTGTGGAGACACTGCACATGCTCAATTTGCTGTGTATTGCTTGAGAGGTTTTTGTTTTTTTTTCTTGGGAGAGTGCATATGATCAGCACAGGGCCAATCAACACTGCCCAGACAGAGGTCAAGGGTTCTGCATCCTCCTAAACAAAACTCCTCATACAAGCTCTAACCAGTGCTCTGCTGAACACCAATAGAAGTCACAAGACTGCTCTAACTGTTGATGAGAAAAAGGTATTTAGCAGTTTATATTTACAAAAAAAATTGCATTTCCATGTTCTGTGTACTGTGAGAGAGCAGATATAGTGCATCCAGAGTCCTAGGTTTAGTAACACTTTAAATTATATCAATAAGATCTGTTTGGATAAATGAATGGAAAGTTTAACTATGCCCTATTCTAAAACATTCTATTGGCCCTTTCATGTGATAGGCAATTTCACTGATCACTTTGAAAGCTTAGGGCTCTTTCACACCATGAACGTGGTTCCACTTTCGCTGTGATCGCCTAGGCAAATCGGAAGTTGTCCTCCCTCCCCTCCCCACAGTCTTCTGGGACACATGACAGGTTGCAGAAGACTACAGGGCCATTGACAAAGCGCAGCACTTCTCACAGCCGCAAACTGTCACAGCCGGCTGAAGATCCCGGCACCAGGGAGAGAAGACAGCCAGTGAAACCAGCAGTGGGGAAGACACCGCTGGACCGAGGGACAGGTAAGTGGCTGTATTTTAAAAGTCAGCAGCTACAGTTTTTGTAGCTGCTGCCTTTTTTTTTTTTTCTCCGCTCTCTTTCTCTCAGGAGAAACTCTGCTTTAAGCTCTAATTCATCGTAGGCTTAGTTAGGATTTCCCAGGTTTGTGCTGGTTCACCTTAAACACTTCTCAAAATTCTCAGCCAGGTATTGACAGAATACAATTTGCTTTGTAATTTACAAATGACTGGAGAGGTAGTCATTGCCTACAACTGCCAAACATTAAAATCAACAAAATGTGGATTGCAAGGACCCTAGAAATGGCATGGTATTAAAACTGGCAAAACTGTAAATAGCACATAGAGAGAAAAAAAAAAAAAAAGAAGACAAGACTGTATTAACAAACAAATGTAAAAATAAAACCAGATCCTTCCTTGACAGTGTTATAAAAAATAAGGACATACTGTTTTACCTCTTTCACTATCAGAAAGGCCGCAACAAGTTGCAAGGAAAGGAGTTGCTGGCCTGTCAGGCAATGAAAGGTCCTTCTTGGAGGAGTTTTAATAATCCTGGGACTGATAGCCCTGTGAGCCAGCCTCATAGGCATCCATAGGAGGCTGTTGATAGCCAGCAGAAGGGTCTAGATCCTCATTGCTGGCATAAGGGGGGTAAGGAGGCCCTTGATCTTGGCTTGGGTCCATGTAGTCCTGAGAGAACAGTGCCGAATCTGAGCCCAGACTGTAGCGTTGGTAGGCCAGTACAGCTTGTCCCGCCTTGGATCGTTGATGAAGGATTAAGGGGTTAAGGAACGGGAACAACATAAGGTTTGGGCCAATAGAAAAAAAAAAAAAATTGGGAAAGATGGAGGGGACATAAAAAAAAAAAAAAAAAAAAAAAGGGGAGAGAAAAAAGACAGACACCCATCACCATGGTTAGTAAGTGTTAAAAACAGCAGTCTCTAGGATCCTACACTTTTACTGACTGGACCCCATTACATATATCTTTAACTTTATATTAAAATGGTTAGCTTAAAAGTTTTTAATAACTTAAAAGAAAGCATCAGTTGCACTTTACTAATGAAATGCAGGCTCCATAAACCCTACAAATATTTTATTTACTGTACTCGTGTGCTGCAGTAAGGGCTAAAATGCCCTGTACTGGCAGCATGCTGAGATCTGGACTGCTGCTCAACACAGTAGGGTGGGCCAAGTCTCCAGCAGGCCAATATGCCCCCAGAACATGAGTGCTGCTGAGTGCAATGTTATGCAGTTTGCATGTCAGACCACTGGAGACTGTTGGCCAGCAGTCTGGATCTCCAGCATGCTGCCAGCACAAGTCATTTTAGTCTTCACTGTAGTACATTATAGGGAAAAAAAATGCAAGATTTTTGCACCCTGACTGCATTGCAATATAAAAAAAAATGAAGCTTTAAAGAGCCCTTTCATATCTGAGCAGTTTAGCACAGCATTACATGATCAAAAAGGAGAAATTAGACAACTTTATTCAAATTTTCCAGTTTAAAAAACGATATAGTGTCCTCCGCTTGCATATCGTAGTTTGGGTGTACATAACAGAGTGCAGCGATAGTCCATCAAAAACCATCTCCTCACTGCACTTAAACTACTTTGAAAGCCATGGATCTTTAGACCTGCAGTTTTTCTGCAGAGATATAAATGAGTCCGGAAACAAACTTTAAAAGGATAAGTTCACCTTTTAACAAAAAAAAAAAAAATAAAATGCACTTTTTTTTTACCTACAAAAATGTGCATTATTTTTTGTTTCTGGAGCCTCTAAAGCATTGCTATGCGGGTTGCTTTTTGGCCTATCAGTGTATCTGCTTGCTCGTACATCCTGTATGAAGAAGCAGATAATTATAATTATTATTCAGGATTTATATAGTGCCAGTAGTTTGCTCAGCACTTTACAATATAAAAGGGAGACAATACAGCAACGATACAGTTCAATACAAGAGGGTTAGGAGGGCCCTGCTCCTTGGATACTTGATAAGTACATCTACCAAAAACCTCAAGGTCCCTAAAGATATTATGATTAGGGACTCCCAGAATACTAATATAACTCCAAAAAAGAAAAAAAATTTGTTGTGGACTCAATCAGGAAATGTGGGTTTTCATAATATCCATCAAACAAATCATTAATGGGTGGTAAGAGTTATATAATCATATAAAATTTATTTTATACATACAAAAAAAGATAAAAACCGCACATATACAATAATATAAAAAAAAACTCCATGAACCTCCAGCAATTCACATAAGAGGGGTTTTTTTGATGCCATATATCCTGTAGACAAAAATTAATTGTGCAGTCATTAACCACTTTTGAGCCTATCCAATTTGATGTATTTTGAATTTATCAGTCGGCCAGTTGGACTTGTCTAGATGGATCCATTTTAGAAAGTCGAATGCCCCTTGCGGAATGCAACTTGGTGCATGACAAAAAATAAAAAGATAAAAAAGAAAACAATGTGTAGTCCAGGAGGAGGAATATGGGTATTTTATTATAAAATATACTTTGTTTCCATACTAAACCTCCCTCATATACTATGTGTGGATATATAAACAATATCCCAATGAAAGATTTATATTTTTGGGAGTCCCAAAAGATGCCAGAGCCTTTCCAAATAGGTGTGGTCCAGAGGAGGAAACCAAAAATGACACAAAATATCCTACACCTCCCTCAGACGTCTGATGTAAGTGTCATCCTGGGGAGGATTGAGGTAATATATGAATAACCTTCCTCACACAACAATGCATCAAACAGTATTAATCCAGGCTAAATATTTCCAAGCCATTCAATACCCCATGGCAGATGAAGAAGTCGATACATAATGGCCACAGTCCCTCCACAATGTTAGGGATATAAATGGTAGGAGCTATATTGTGGTTAAGTGGGTATAAATATACTTATTCAAGAGTGAATCGCAATGCTGTGAGATCAAGAGAGGTAAGAAGCCATCCTGACTGGTTTCGTCAGGATACTTACTGACAGGAAAGCGCAATGATCTAACACGGCGCTGTGGAGTGCCGTGGTAGTTCATTCAGAACTACAAGCAGACAGCCACAAAGCCTGTCTGGACCTGTAGTTTTCCCATTCATACAATACTGTGAACGAGAGTTTTTATTTTTTCCTTTAAATTGTGATGGCTAGCGGGGAGGAGAAGATGCCCCACTAGCCGTCACAATGGGGATGTTGCATGTTCCATCCCGAATATGGGTGTAACATAAGGTGAACTTACCCTTTAACTGCTGGAACATGAGTAACTAAAGCTAGTCCTATACTAACCTGTATGTAATGGTATATTTTAAAGTTGGAAAAAAAAAAAAAAAAAAAAAAAACACCACACAAAATAGCTAAGATTTTCAAATAGCCGTTTTACTAGTAACATTTTTATTGCAGTGTACCGACTTATGTATATAAACTTGTAGTCAAAACAAGCAGACAAATATCTGGTCACAGAGTATAAATAAGCAATTCAAAAAACAGTCAGATCGGTAAATACTAAAACTGACGTGCTATTAGTATAACACATTATTAAACAATACTCTGCAAAGCACATTTCTATCCATGTCATATTAGTGACGTTTAAAAGGCTTTGGCAAGCAGCAGACAGTATATGACAATGGGACCTGAGTATATAGAAAGGCACATTAAATTTGGCAGTTGTAACAGTTTGGCAACACAGAACTTGGCACTCAGACTACAAAGAAATAGAATGGCTTGTTTGCATGTGTGATTAGGGCAGCTCCCTTCCTTGAAAGAAAGCTAACCCCCCCGAAAAAAAAAAAAAAAAAAAAGAATAATTATGCATATAAAATAATTCTATAAAACAATCCATACCAAAATATCTATCAATTATCAAAAAACTCCAGCCAGAACTTTTTTCTGTATGGTGTGGAGATGGCTGGAAAATGGTTTTTAGTTTCTTTTTGGATTGGGAGTCTAATCAGTGAGTGAAGAGATCCTATTCTCAGTTCCTGTCCCAATAAACAGCATCATCAGAATAGGAAATCTCCTTGCTGGGAACAAAGATGGCAGAAGAAACATGGGTATGGCTTGGACTGTAACTCTAACCTACTTTACTAAAAAAAACAAACAAAAAAAAAAAACCAAAACACCTATATCTATCTATATATATATTTTATTAGCCTAGAATTTATCTTGTATTACAACCTCTGATGAGTGAAATGCAGCACATGCCATAACTAATTTCCTTCTGAAAATGCTTATTTCCTGCCAGTCATGTTGGTCCCTCTGACATTACTTTCTACATCACTGACCTGAACAAGTATGCAGATCAGCTCAGTTAGTCATTAACATGCATATTTGATCCTAATTGGCCAGACTAGCTACAGTGTTTGTTTTTAGTTCCATTTGAGCTTAAGAGAAAAAACGAACAGGTTGTCACTGCCATTACAGCGGCCAATTAAAAAAAAAACAACAAAAAACCCAAAGTCTAAGCAGTAGTCACATCAGGTTAAAATGACATTACATTTCTATTTTTCTTACGTGTTAGAAGTCTTTAACATTAAAATCTGTTTTTTGTTTCAGTATAAAGCAATTACTGGCCAGATGTGTTGATCCTAGTTTTAGAAAAATAACCATTATACCAATTCTGTAACATATAATGCAAAGCCAAGCCAGAGAAAAAAAAATTTCAGCTGATGAAAATATTCTTTTGATAACAAAAATTGGAAAAAAGTGCTGAAATTACCCTGAGCTTACAGAATAGGGGAGGTTAGAGATGGAACGCCTTTAGATTTACATTATGAAGTGGTATGGAGGTGTACCAGTATTTAAGAAGTGGAAAACCATTTAGGTATACAGCATGTCTGCTTTGGAATACAGCTTTCTGAACATCATGAAAGGAAATCTATGCTGAGGGAAATCTGTAGGCTACCAATGCGGACTGTTTGTTGCCTGGCTCTGTGCTTTCCAAGTCATGTGTTTTAAATAGGTTCACAGACCTGGGAAGTTAGAAGTCAAATTAGAGCTTACAATCTGCATATTTGTTTAATGATAGAGTCATAGAAAATACTAAAACCGTAAAATCAGAGACAGCCAATGAACTAGCATTTTCAGAAAGATGTCAGAAATTAAAGACTCCATATTTGATTTGTACAGGCTTACTTAAATAAGCTGCATCACTTTGAATATTATTAACATGTTCTGTTCATTGAGTGACAAAGTGCTGCATGTACTTTGATAGCACATAGGAAGATGGGACTGACAGAGTACCCTTCCTCCCTCCATGGCCATTCGACCACATAGCTAGTAATGAAAAGGCCAAATTTCATTGATGGCACTTTTCTCTGTCTCCTGATCCCACACTTTCCTACAAACCTCATGAGACACTTGTCTGGGGAAAGTGCTTGGAGATGGATAACATGTCATCAAAGCTTCTGTTTCCTTACTAACTGCATGGTTGGATTGCCATGGAGGGAGGAGGGACGCCTTGTCCAACCTCACAGCTAGTCTTAGACAGCACAAAAGGAACATGGGACAAAAAGTACAACATGCACTTTGTCCCCTAGGAAACAGAACACAATAATAAAAATTTAGATGAGACTACTTTAAAAAGCAAACCTTTACTGAGCAAAATAAGAGGTTGCCACGGTTAGCCATCTTGGACTAGTGTGGCAACCAGGCAAATGGCATTCTAATGACTTCAATACTTTCTTGATCAAGGACAGACATGGTCAGAAGAAGCATGCAGCAAGTAAAGTCATAGCCAAGTCATAGCTCCCGGTCTACA